ATATACTGGAAGAACAAGTCACCATTCTGCCTCGCTCAAGCGTCATTATTTCAGTCCGCGCTCTTAAATCACCTGACTTGGAAGGCGTCGTTGAAGGCAGTCAGCATCTGTTGGTCACCCGAAATATTTGCGTCGCAAGAGGCATCGCAGAGCTGCGGGGAGGCAAAGCAACGGTTATGCTCACGAATTTTAGCAATGAGTACAAACACGTGAACAAAGGAACAACGGTCGCATACATCGAAGAAATTGATTGATTGATTGATTGATATGTGGGGTTTAACGTCCCAAAACCACTATATGATTATGAGAGACGCCGTAGTGGAGGGCTCCGAAAATTTACACCACCTGGGGTTCTTTAACGTGCACCCAAATCTGAGCACACGGGCCTATAACATTTCCGCCTCCATGGGAAATGCAGCCGCCGCAGCCGGGATACGAACCCGCGCCCTGCGGGTCAGCAGCCGAGTACCTTAGCCACTAGACCACCGCGGCGGGGCACATCGAAGAAATTGTCGAAGCCACCAGTGCTTTCGCCCTCGCCGATTCTGCGGAACCTGCTCAGAGGAACCAAGCCCCTCCCAAAGCTTTCGATGTCAATCCCAGACTTCCGAACCATAAGCAAGAACAGCTCAAGGCCCTGCTCCTGCAATACAAAGATTGCTTTTCGTCGTCATCAAAAATTCGGCAGACCCCAATTACGAAACATCGCATCATAACCGAAGAAAATGCCAGACCACTCCGCCAGAGTCCGTTCCGTATAGGGTTTCGACGCGAGAACGTGAGGCCATGAAGAGACAAGTTGATGAAATGCTGCGGGATGACATTATCCAGCCGTCCGAGAGTCCATGGGCATCCCCCGTGGTGTTAGTCAAGAAAAAGAATGGAACCCTATGTTACTGCGTCGATTATCGCCGCCTGAACAAAATAACAAGAAAGGACGTGTATCCTTTCCCACGAATAGACGACGCACTTGATCGGCTCCATAACGCCAAGTACTTTTCATCAATGGACCTCAAGACTGGCTATTGGCAAATCGACGTTGACGAAAGAGACCGAAAGAAGACGGCGTTTATAACACCGGATGGCCTCTTCGAGTTTAAGGTGATGCCCTTCGGTCTTTGCTCAGCGCCTGCAACTTTTCAACGCGTTATGGACACAGTACTGGCACGATTGAAGTGGCAGACTTGCCTTGTGTACTTGGACGACGTCGTCGTGTTTTCTTCGAGTTTCGACGAGCATCTTCGGCACCTTGAAGCTGTACTTCAAGCCATCAAGACGTCCGAACTCACACTGAAGCCAGAAAAGTGCAGATTTGCGTACGAGGAGCTCTTGTTTTTGGGGCACGTTATTAGCAAGTCTGGAGTTCGCCCCGATCCACGGAAAACAGCCGCCATCGCCGACTTCCCACCGCCCACTGACAAGAAGGCAGTGCGCCGATTTCTGGGCCTGTGCGCCTATTAGGGCCAAACCTCATATGCGCAAAAATGCACGCGACAGCGACGAGCGACGCGACGTAGATCGTCTTCGCGCGATCAGTCGCTAGTGCAGACAAACCTCATTCACGCGACGGCTTCGGCGAGCGATTCCACTGTTGCTGGCATGAGGCCGTCTAGTCGCACCAAGAAAATCGCGTAGCGAGCGGTATGCAATTTAAAGATTAGATATATTGTTGTGTAATGGAACGGAAAGTGTTTATTATTGCCTTGCAGCACTTTTTATATGCACATGCGTAATAAACATTGCGTTATTTCTTGTTGCGCATATGTGACTCGGGCATGGTCACGTGCACCTATGTAGTCTTTGTCTTTTCCGGTTTTTCGCTATTGGCTGCTTGAGCACAGCACTTCCGGGCGATGAGCGACGGTTTCCAAATCTGGAGAACCGAGCGATCGCGCAAAAACGAGCACGCGACACGTCGCGCGAACGCCCTGTTTCGTCGCTCATAGCATCACTCGCCGCTGTCGCGTGCATTTTCGCGCTTATGAGGTTTGCTCTTATAGGCGGTTCGTGAAAAACTTCGCCCGCATTGCCGATCCTCTCACTAGCTTTACTAAGGCCGACGTGGAGTTCAAGTGGGAAACGCCGCAGGAACACGCTTTCCAGGAGCTTAAACATCGCCTCCAGACGCCTCCGTTACTTGCCCATTTCGACGAATTCGCTGAGACAAAAATACACACTGACACAAGCAGCGGTCTTGCCGCCGTTCTTGTGCAGAGGGCTGACAGACTTGAGAGGGTTATTAGTTATGCCAGCCGATCGCTATCCAAAGCAGAAGCCAATTATTCCACCACAGAAAAGGAGTGCCTCGCCATCATCTGGGCTACGTCGAAATTTCGCCCCTACCTCTACGGCAGGCCCTTCAAAGTTGTGAGCGACCACCACGCCTTGAGTTGGCTAGCCACCTTGAAGGACCCTTCAGGTCGCCTCGCACGATGGAGCCTGAGACTTCAAGAATATGACATTACCGTCATTTACAAGTCCGGCAAAAAACACTCCGACGCCGATTGTCTTTCTCGCGCGCCTGTCGAACAACCACCACCCGACGACCCGGATGACGACTACTTCTTAAGAACGATAGCTACCAACGACTTCGCTGAACCACAGCGGGCCGACCCGGAACTTCAGGCCCTAATAGAATACCTCGAAGGCAGGAGTGCCGAAGTCCCGAAGGTGTTCAAGCGCGCACTTGCGTCGTTCTTCCTGCGAAACGGTCTTCTACAAAAGAAAAACTTTTCACCGCTTCGAGCTAAGTACCTCCTTGTGGTGCCTTCAGCTCTGCGACCAGAACTCCTGCAGACCCTGCACGACGATCCGACGGCAGGGAACCTCGGTGTTTCTCGCACGCTCGCGAGGATACAAGAAAGGTACTACTGGCCACGTCTTACCACCAACGTCACTCGTTATGTGAGGACATGCCGGGACTGTCAGCGACGCAAGACACCACCCACAAGGCCAGCGAGACTTCTGCAGCCAATTTAACCACCTTGCCGACCTTTCCAGCAGATTGGTATGGACCTACTGGGGCCGTTCCCGACGTCGGCTTTCATAAACAAGTGGATCGTGGTAGCTACCGACTACTTCACCCGCTACGCCGAGACAAAAGCCCTTCCCAAAGACAGTGCATCCGAGGTAGCTAAATTCTTCGTTGAAAATATCATCCTACGTCACGGCGCCCCGGAGGTCCTTATCACCGACAGAAGAACGGCATTTACTGCCGACTTAACTCAAGGGATCTTGGCATACAGCCAGACAAACCACCGCTGGACGACAGCGTACCACCCACAGACCAACGACCTCACCGAGCGGCTTAACAAGACGATCGCCGACATGCTGGCAATGTAAGTCGATGTCGAACACAAGACATGGGACGCCATTCTTCCGTACGTGACCTTCGCATACAACACGGCGGTGCAGGAGACGACGAAGATATCTCTATACAAATTGGTCTACGGAAGGAGCCCGGCAACGACGCTCGATGCCATGTTACCCAACGTCACTGACGAAGAAAACCTCGATGTGAGTGAGTACCTTCAACGCGCCAAAGAAGCCCGACAACTCGCGCGTCTCCGTATCAAGAATCAACAGACGACCGACAGCAGCCGTTACAATCTTCGACGACACTTCGTGGAATACCAGCCCGGTGAACGTGTTTGGGTGTGGACGCCGATACGCCGACGTGGACTAAGTGAAAAGCTTCTGCGACGGTACTTCGGACTGTACAGGGTGGTTCGACGTCTCGGCCCACTTGATTACGAGGTTGTCCCCGACGGCATCACAAACTCTTAACGACGCCGATCGCGACCTGAAGTCGTCCATGTCGCGCGCCTCAAGCCGTTTCATGCGTGTTAACAAACTGAAACAGTGTTTTTTTGGGTATTATATTGTATCGTAATTTATTCATTGTACTTTCTTGCATTATTGTTGTACCTTCATTTTTAGTTAAAGCATCAGGACGATGCCTTTTTCAGAGGGGGGCAATGCCACGCGTTCCATTTCCCAAGTTTGGTTATCGTCCCAAAACACTACACAATTCTCAGCGCAAACCGCGCCTGCAGTTTTCGAGAAGCTTCCTGACTGTAGTAGATTCATTTCGATAAGATCACGCCCACTCTGCGAATGGTACAGATTATTCTGGAACCTACGCGACTGCCAGCGATAATGCTAGAACATTCGACGATAATGCTAGAACATAAATGCCGACGCGCTTCGCCGTTTGTCAGTAGTTTATCGAAGGCCGACGCTCCGTTCGCCGCTATCAGTCCAAGACTGTTACTGTAATCGAACTTTCCATTTACCGGGCACAGGTTCGCCTAAATAAACAGTTGAATTCCAACGCAATGTCTCCTGTCTTCAGCCACGTCACGACCCCGTGACAATATCTAACTCGGCATACCTGACCAGTTGTTGTGAATACTATGTAAAACTTTGGTCCATTTTTCTCTCTCTGGAAGCGACCCACTCATAAAACATGCTTCAGCCCTATCAGATTTGCCATGAAGCCTCAGTTGCGAAGCTAATTACTCATTTGCAATGAAAGGGCACTAGCCGCACAAACTGACAGCACCGTCTTATTAGATGGCATTTCTACACTGTATTCACCAATCTCAGTTGAAACAAATTGCTGTTGGGATATCAATAGAAGAGTGACCTTCTGTGTAACACTTCCAACTATTATTGAGTTCAACTGCATTATAGTCCAATGGCAGTTGAAAGTGCCCATGCAACAGAAGTATAACATCAACATGCGGCCTACAGTGTCTGCAATGTGATACACTTTGTTCAGTGCACTCAGTGTTGAAACCCAATTTCAGTAATCAGTTAAGTAAATATTGATCCAAATTATGAAATTCTACTTGGAAGATAAAACCTTCAAGGACAAACATTGACTAAATCCATAAGGACATCATCCACATTTTGACATGTGCATTCATCGATGAATCTTTCTGCTACTATACTTAGCAACGCAAAACACAAAGCTAGGTGACCAAATTTGTACTTGCTTTTCTGTCTCATCTCTGATGTTGCTGTCAGGAGTATGTTTTAAGCGGGCATAAAACCACAAGTGTTCTTCCACAGTTAACCTGGAAAAAAAATGAATTTATTAGTGAAACTATTTCTGTTATTTATGTTCATAACTGTCCCTCTTTCCCTCTTCTATATGAACAATGCTAGTACCAAACCATCAGGCAATCTGCTTGCAGATTCTGAGAAATGCACACCATATTATTGAACATAAGCCCTTCCAATGTATTGACACACTTGCTTCACTTAATAGCACAACTGTTTATGCTCAGCATTGATTTGTGACTAATGAACAGAAATGACCATCATCGTAAACTGGCACATGCTCTCATTAACTTCATTTCCTTTATCCCCTTCTGCTTTGGTCCCAGGTCACGTGTGCCGATTTGTACATTTATTATTTTTATAATTATTAAAGCTGTAACGAAAAGCAGAGTGTCTTCAGCTCATTGGTGCAGTTTGAATCAGGCTGTCACTATCTGATCAACACCAGCATCCATATGTCTGCAGCTGTACCTTCACCCCTGTAGATACCACCGCATAACCTGTGTTTACACCTATCATTAATCATTCCCAGATACATTTATTTGTCCACATACTTCTTGGCATCTGCAGATTATCAGCACACTACAGAACTAAATGTGAACAGCCGGTATCATTGTGGCACCTTGAGGTGCAGAGGAGAGCCATCTGCTTCCTTCTACATGTCCCTATGATCCGCTTTGACAGCACAACGGTGTGCTGCTGAAGTTGATTTCGGAGGCCACACAGAAAAAGGTGCAACTCAATCCAATAAGTGCATTTACATCACCGACGACGGCTGCGCAAGTGAGTTAAAAAGAACAAACAGCTCTGAGAAAGGAGGGTAGTATTTGATTGCCGATCGCTGCCTTGATACAAGGTACGTCAATTAATTTACGGTGCGAATGATCTGATGATGATGTAGCCTAAAAGCTGACAAAACTTGAAAAAACTGTTCAGGAGACTCCTTAAGGGGAGACACAGGTATGAGAGGCCGAAAATTTCTGAAAAACCGATTTTTTGAAGTATTTTTTTTCATGATCATTAAGGTCTAAGGAAGCTGTTCCTAAAATATTATAGCCCTGTAATGCGTATTTGTCGAGTTATTGGGTCGCAAAGTCAGTTTAATGACCATTTTCGCTTCCAAAACCACCTCAAAAACGGTCGTATTCAACGCTGCAGCGCGCGAGAACCGCACCAAGTAGCGCGGCCATTTTGGTCTCATTTTAAAGACGCATTTTTATATTATCTGTTCCTAGCAGAAGAACGTTTTTCATTTAGCAACAACGCAGCTATCGCGCATAATGAAAAACTGAATACTCGCACATCATTGGTGCGTTTTTGTCACGTGGGACAGTTCCCGGTTTCCTATTGGACGCGAAGGGATTCGTCTGCTAGACAGCGGCGTGCAAGATGCCATTTCGCGTTGAGGCCTAACAACGGCTGTGTATTCGGTGCAATGGCAGGCGGTCATCGGAAGTTCCGGAGTTCTGATGCGTTCGGTAAAAGGCGAAAACGGCGTCCGAGAGCCTGCACCTTATCACCAGCAAGACCTTCTGCCGCCGAGAACTCGGAAGAAGCAGGCAGTGCCAGCGCTATCACCGCCGCGGCACCCGCGATCGCGGACGCGATAGCCGCGTCCCAAGATCACACGAGAGCTGTGCGTGTCGACACTCCCCTGGTTTCAGACGCTGAAAAAGTGGCCATCGAGTGTCGTGCGAGCGATGTTCTGCAAGATCTTTCATCGAAGTCTGCCACAAAACGCAAGCGGTCTTTTTTTGCGAGACTTGGATGGAGCCGCAACGCCTGGTACGCCGTTCACCGTCGTTAGCTTAGAGTTGGTCAACGAACTTCTTCAGTGTATGAAGTGCGGTGTGTGTGGCGGGCCTGGCAGAATCTCCAAGGAAGACCGCGAATATGGCATAGCCGCGAAACTTGTTCTCACATGTGACGAGTGCGGTAAACTGAGGACCGTATGGAGCTCGCTGAGAGCAGGGGGGGACGCAGCGCACGGCCCCTTCGAAATTAATGTGCTCGTGGTTCGCGCGGCAATGAGCACAGAAAACGGGCAAACTGCGCTCAATGTTATTTTTTCCGCCCTAAATATTTCATGGAGAGGCCTGCACAGCAAGACATACTAGAATTATGTGAACCCTGTTGCGCAGAAGGCTGCCGCGCGCGTTATTGACGACTGCGCAAGCTCCGTGAAAATGGTGTATTTCGAACTCAACTATGGAAATCCTGGAAATATTGCCATTTCCTTTGATGGGACTTGGGCTGACCAGGGGCCATTCATCCCATATTTGTGTAAGGACCGTGATTGAACTATTCACGGGTTATGTGCTCGACTTCGTCGTCCTATCGAACTTTTGTTTGGGCTGCAAGCTAGGGCCAACCCAAGGTATGCCGAGTGGCTAGCTGGTCACACTTGCCAAAAGAATACCTCCAGTAAGCCAGGACAAATGGAGGTGGAAGCAGCACAAATTTTATTTGGCCGCTCATTGGAGAGACATGGGCTCCGCTACACAACCATGTTGTGTGATGGAGACAGCCGGGCCTTCAACAGCCTGCAGGAGGCACAGGTATATGGCTTCGTGCCAATAGAAAAAGAGGACTGTGTCAACCATGTGCATAAGCGCATGGGCACAGCACTTCGAAACCTCCTGCAAAAACAAAGAGCCGAAGGAAAGCCAAGCCTTGGCGGCAACGGCAAACTGACAGGCAAGCTGGTCACAAAGCTCACGTCATATTATGGATGGGCTTTACAAAGTAATCAAGGAAGCATTGAGGCCATGAATAATGCTGTCTGGGCAACCTTTTATCACGTAGCATCTACTGATGCAAGCCCTCAGCACTCTCACTGCCCAACTGGTGAAGAGTCATGGTGCAAGTACAATAAGGCTGTTGCCAAGCAGGAGACTCCTCCGAATCATCGCTACAACCTGCCGGAGTATGTGGTTGATGCCTTGCGGCCTATTTACACGCACCTTTCTGACAAGAATTTGCTGGAGCGTTGTCAGCAAGGCAAAACACAGAACCCAAACAAGAGCCTGCACTCCGTCATCTGGTCGCTCGTGTCCAATAACAAACACGCGTCGCTTTTCACCGTTGAAGCTGCTGTGACCGAAGCTGTCGCAAGGTTCAACGCTGGCGAAGGGAGAGCAGATGCCGCCATATTGAAGGAGCTGCACCTGCAGCAGAGTGTTGTGGCCGCTGAAAGATGCTCAGAAAAGGACAGTCGCCGACTAGTGGCATCGAAGAAGAAGCATGAGCATGCTGAAAACTTCAAGCATGCCATGAAAAGAAAGTGCACCAAGGAGAATGATGACTACATTCCTGGTGGCTTCTAACATGGTTAATACAGCGATTCACACCTTTTCTTGTTAAATATAAGTGCTCAGCATGTTCCTAAACTTCTTTTCTCGTTTTCTCAAAACAACATTTTCATCACACCCTAAGCCATAGCCCACAGTATCTTTTGATGTAGCAGTCAGATTTTGATAATTCTTGCAGCATTCGAAAGCTTATACATTGATTAGTGCAAGAAAACCAAAAAATGTAATATTTTTATTTACAATAGTGATTTAATCAGCAACAAACTTAAGCAACGGTTTCAGATTTCTAATGAGTATACTTGTTAAGGCCATAACTCTGGTACCAATGAAGCTAAAAATAAAATTATGGTTTTGTTGCACTCCCTGGCCTTCATGGAATGCTGTCATATCGAATTTGTAGCAATATTTTATGAGGAAGATGTCAAAAAACTGGGCAGAATGCAAGTTTATGTAACAGTAAATATTTAAAATTCTAAAAGTGATAGCAAAAAACTAATTGCATATGTGTTTTCAGCTGTGAAAAATACATATTGTATTAAAATTTCAGCTGGAAATACTGAAAATTAAAAAAAAATTTTCAGACCAGTGCCTCCCCTTAAGGAAGGGATGTGTCTAGGGGTGATTCAAGGAATGTGTCCAGTGGTGATTCGCTGTGAATCACCACTGACGTAGCAGAAATATTGTGAAGAGGCTTTTGGCTACATTTGTCCTAGTTCCTTTCCTATCATGCTTTTGTTCCACAATTTGCTTTTCTTGTGCAAGATGGTGCCTACTAAAAGACATTATGTTGCAGGGCAAAATTCCGATATAAAGAGTAAGAGGTCGACCTTCGTACTACTCTCAGAATTTTAATGTTTTCATTTTTCGAGTTTAGCATTATAGTATCATGTCCCCTTTTTATTGAAAGACAATATATCTTAAATAGAAGGCAATTGAAATAAACATATATTAGGTGCCGATTTATTGACCTAAAATGACGAGGCATAAAATAAGTTTAGAAGAAGAGCTGACACATTTTTTGAAGACCTTCAATAGATTCAAATAAAAAAAAATGCTGTCGACAGTCTTGAATGGTGAATTTTTTGCCTGGAAGGGCCACTCGTTCCACGAGTCTAGTCATTGCCATTATGATCATGCAACAAAGGATAACACTGACAGATGCAAAAGGATTTAGACTTCTGTTACAAGCCAATTAAAGCCCAAATTAAATATTCCACTCTATAACAGCAAAATCCAAATGTTACTCCTGAATACCGATAATAGTGGCCCATACACATTTTAGCCGCAACATATATTTGAAGTATTCTCGTGACATGAGCACACACCATGTTGTCAAGTAGCAAAAAACTGTTTTTCTCAGTTGCACTTAACGTGAGCTTGGGTCTTTCAGAGTGATAAGAACCTGTAAAAATGTACAACAATAACCTTCAAGAGGCAGAACTTAGTATTTTACCACAACAGAAGGGTCAGGAGTTGGCATACTATTACCTTACAAGACATAAGACCGAAAGTAAGGTTGTGCAAACATTAAATTTCAAATAACAAATCAAATAGCATTCTATTTGATTAAGTATTCACATAGAATAGCACACATTCAAAATCTCGAATATTTTTTTATAGTTTTTGAATAATCACTAAGGACAAAAACACTCAAAGAAATTAGAGTGAGAAAAGCGAGGGGTAACTTTCCTTATTTTTATCATGGAATTTCCTAGAATATTGCAAGCGATGTACTTATGGCCCTATCGACAGCATATCGATGATAGAATGAAAGCATTTTGCTGAAAACTTCAGTGTCACCGAAGCAACAGAGTCAGTAGTCAACTAAACTGATAATGATGTTAACTCATAAAAATTACCTGATATTTAAATTAGAGCTGTGCAAATAGCAATATTTTGGGTGCAAAGCAAATTTGAATATATAAGTGCAAGTGAAAATCGAATTGTATATTTTTGAAATATTTCTCAAGTATTTCAAGAATATTTTTCAAATACATCGAAGAGAAATTGCAAAAAAAAAGTTGGAGAGGATTCCCACGCATAATCTAATGAGATACCCATATTAAAGTGTTCCTTTTGGCTAGGCTGATAAAGCACTGGTGCGGTGGTGTTTCATAGTTGTCTTATCAAGAATAAAGCAATGCAGAGGCCAAATTGGACTTATGCACATTATTTGGTGCCACTAATTAAAGCATTGTCGACAGCGCTGTACATGTTAAAGGTAAAGGTGCTGTTTTCTCAGATGCTTCTCCTCCTCTTTCAACTTCTGCAGAAGACCAACTGATGTGGCAGACAAGGCTGCGCTCCATTCAGGTCTGGAGTTCCAAATCTGCCTCATAGACATAGTTATATAAGAACATCTGAAATTTTGCGCGCTAAAAATCTTCGACATCCGATTTTTTTTAGACTTTCTGCCTGAATTTCAGGTCTAAAATGGCCTTAATTGAGCCCTTATCTCTGCTGCATTTGTCACCTCTGTAATGGAACCAGCGTTTTTTTTTTAATACATTTGTGACCGTAGCACAAACTAAAAAGCAGCTTTGCCGCAATACAATAATATAACGGTGTGACGCATACTAAAAAATCTGAAGGCGTCATTGTCGATCGGATGTTGACCATATCTATCTTTGGAAAGTTCGGATCGTTCGGATAGCAAACACTATTGTAAAATATCTAAAATTTTGAATATTAGCACACCCCTAATTTATTTATCTATATTATTTAAAAGCTGTTGACAAAGTACCACTTTGAATAATATAGGCACTGCTATGTTTATCTTACTTGAACTGGTATAGCGCATTACGGGGAAGAAGAAACGGCCGAGCAGACCGACACAAGAGGACATAGCGCTCTGTTCTCTTGTGTCGGTCTGCTCGGCCGTTTCTTCTTCCCCGTAATGCGCTATACCAGTTCAAGTACGATGAACCAACTCGCCCAATCTTCAACACGCTATGTTTATCCCTGCAGTTAGAGAATATTTTAAAGGCTTTAGTTGCTGCCCAGTTTAGATAATTGTAGTATTTTTTGTCAGTTGAAAGTAATCATAAGATTTTTTGCTAAAGCTTGTGAATATTAGTTTCAAATAAAATGTAGTGGGATTCTTGAGCTCTTTTCGAAATTGTCACCTTATCCTTTGAAATGTGTTGTCTTCAAATAGAAATAATATACTATACTATTGAATCAAATACATTGAATATAAATCAAAGACTATTCAAATAGCATTTGATTCAGTGTAATCACTATGACATTAAGTTTTGAAATTTACTATTCACAAAACCCTAGACAAAAGCCACAAAAAGAAGTGAAGTGTTACAGGTATCTTTGTCATATGACTTAATGTGGCAAAGACAACAAATATGCCACAAGAGTAGGAGTTTATAATTCAAAATGGTGTACCCTTCCAGCTGCTGTCAAGGTTAATAATTTAGCAAATTTATTCTGTAAATGCTTTCATTAAATGTACGGCAATCGTTGCTGCACAGATTAACAAAATACCACAACAATTTAAAAAAGGGGTAAACAGGCAGGGTACTGTGCTGATTTCTCAGCGCTGAACAAACTTGCCAGTTCATGTTAGAATATGGCATACGTTGTGTGTTTACTTGTAGCTGTTTGTTTCTCTCTATGCTATCAAGTCTACAAACTATATAAACCAAAATGTAAGGTATTAATCTTATGTATACTTAAAGAACGAACTGAATGTTAACATTTTAACCTCTGTTATAACATACTAATAAGGTAGAATTAATCAAACAATACCAGCACGATATAACTTAATGCTAGCACCAGTTCCACTTACTCGTCAAACAACACATTGTGTTGTGGACACATGCCCATACTCTGTCGAATCACATCCATTTCTGTGCGAATGTCGTGTCCATATATTGTTGCATATCCAGAAGTTGGGGGGAAAAGCCCTGTAAGAATTGACCTGACGAAAAGAAAACATAGCAACTGATAAGCCTTTATTGTATTGCAAAAATAAATCAACTCACAAAATAGAGACTTAAATTTGTCTTTTTTGAGAGTGAACAGTAGTTTGAAAAAGTACAGTCCCATGAAATACATAATAAATCATGATTGTATATTTATTTTATGAATGAACGTAACTGTTATATATGATAAAGAATGCATAAAGCTGCATTTGTAAAATGAAAGCATTCTTTACAGCAATTATTTTTCCTTAAAAAAGAAAATGTAACCTATAAGCTAATATTCATAGTATTATGCAAAGGAGCTATTACCCAACAATTATCATACACACCCAAACCTCCTTATAGGGTAATTTCATGCTAAATATCCCAACCCTCACCAAAAATCGATTTCTGGCAAATAGTTTAAGAAAATTACACACATATAGACATTAGTTCTAAAGCATTTTTGTAAGATATATTAAATGGCAAAAAATTTCTACACTGTGAAAACCCTTTGAAATACACAAAATGGTGGAAAACCAGGAACGAAAAGAATTCCCTATAAATTGACCGTTTCGTGCATTCTTTCAATACTTGCTTTTTTGCGTTTTTAGAGCAACATGCTTGTATTGTAACACAGTTCTTCATTATAGATTCAAAATTTTCACTCTTAACAGTATACACAAAACTAAAGAAATTGTAGTGTTTTCGAGAATTATTCTACAAAACATGACAATCGATAGAATGCATAAATTACTTCTGTCAAACTCTCCATAAAACATACTATTCATAAATATTTTTGTTTTGCTGGTGTGTGACGCATAGACTCCAAATAAAATCTTGAACTTGGCAAGAACATTACTCTGGTCTAAGTTGAGACGTCTGTAGCACCCTAAGGTGTGTCTAAGAAAAAATTAAGAGAAAAGCGCATAGGATTGAGAATCACAGCGACTTAGTTCACAGAAAGTTTATTTGAAGTGATTTTTGTTTTAGCAGAGAAAAACATTTTTAAAGTCTAATCCAACCATTGCATTGCTTTGCTATAGGGGCAATATGAGCCAACTGAATTCACAGCATAAAAAGAGTGGTAGTGCACTGACAACACATGGTTCAAAGTTTTCCTTGTAAGTACTCTCTAGTACTCTATTTTGTATACCACTCATCGAGATAATAATACACAGAGGTAGAGTATGACAATGTGAATAAATTAATTATTCTTATTTAGCATAAATTTAAATATTGAATTATGCTGTAGCCAGTGATGTGATTTTTGCACAAAAAAAAGAAATTCTTGGGCTCAAAATGCAGATGCAGTTAGGTTTTATATGTGTTCATTTTGAGCCAAGAAAAATAATACTTATGAAGATGGTCCTGGAACACAGCCTGTCAAGAGACCCGTCGAACATTGTAGTGCTCTCACTAATGTTATTGGCTGCCCTCATACATAGCACATTGCGGTTAAGTCAAGACGCATGGTTATGCAGAAGGTTCAATTGATTCTATGTGTAATGTATCTTGCCCTCTCTTTCCCACTAGTCCAAGGAACTGGCAAAAACAAGTTGCGTCTACATATGTGGACACTGCACCTCAAGGGGCTATATCCAAAAACTCATTATACACACATACTCGTAACACTGTACTTATGACAGAGCTATTTTTCACTTGCTTCGTTATAACAAATATTTGTTATATCCGTGTTTGATATATCGAGGTTTTTTGAGTGTAAATACATAATTTACAATGTAAACCATTCCAGTCACACTCAAAACTTTCATAACAAAAACGACAAGTGCAACTCTTTGATACGTCAGCCAAAGTGCACATTGCAGGAGTACCTACATTGTAGTAGTTTTTCCAGCTCCATTATGTCCCAGAAAGGAAGTTATCTGTCCTTCATACAAATTTAGGCTGAGCTTGTTTACAGCAAGTTTCTTGCCATCTTTGTAAATCTGGAAAAATTAAAATAATTAAACACAGTTAAGCCTCTTATAACCAACTTAAATTTAATCGAATTCTCTATACAAGAAAGTGTTTCACATTTAATAATTCCATGTGTATAAAACATCATGTACTTTCAACTATAACCACAACATAAAAAATATGTTAACATTCTATTTCATTATTATAACAAAGTTTTGCAGCTGCTACAAAGAAAGAATGAGACAATAATTAAGTTGGAGCTACTTCTGGTGCCAGCAATAAAATCGTAGCTAATTCATGCTGTTCTCCCAAACACATTTTTAAAATCACGCAAGGCATTAAGGAGAGTGGCTGCCAAGGAGGCATAGTCCTTTATGTGGCAGTAGCTGGAGGGCAAGGGTGCACTTAAACAGTGCTCTCCTCTTCACCGTTAAAGCAGGAGAGAACACCATGCGAACCCACCAGCCCATCGTGTTATGCACTCTACGCAGCCATGAAGTTCCCCATTTTGTGCTGCGAGTGTCTCGTGTCAGCACCCGATTTGATGTTTTGGTTGTCACCATGTGGCAAGGAACAAGCATTAGTATTATACACAATGACCTGCCACTTATCTCGCAAGCGGTCTCGATCATGAAGGAAGCAGAAGTCACTGAGAAAGCTAGAACTATCTGGCAAGAAATCTCTGTTGGTGAGAAAAAAGGATGCCGCCGCTTGTTTAGGGTCATCACTGAGATTGCTCTCTATGGTCTCAAAGTCAAATTAAGCTATCCTTTACTCAATGAAAAAAAGAATATATTTTCAGCAAGAGCAATTGAAGCTCACAAGAACTTTTACTACTGTGCTGACGTTTATTCGAGCAGAGAAGTCGCAACAAGGTCGCGACGAAAAATGGGCGTACGGCAAGTCTGGCAAAAGCGGCACAAGCTCTCGCGCAAGCAGAGCACGGGGCTTTTCATTATCTTCCGAAGGCGCATACACGTTGGTACGTATGCTCCACTACAATACCTTCGGGGTGAAGGGTAGCCATCCTGGCGACTCATGGAGTAGGCACAATGAGGGGGTCGTAGTAGGGCTTGGGACGGTCGACGTGTACGGTCTCGCGTCCTCGACGGCGCAAATCTGGTGATTGTGTTAGTGACTTTATGATGTAATTCACCGGGGAGATTGCGTCAATGACACGGTACGGACCATGGCACCGGGCCAAAAGTTTAGAAGACAGGCCAGGAACGTGCGGGGGCACCCAAAGCCACACAAGGAAGCCAGCACGAAACGTAGGAGCTATGTGATGAGCGTCGTCGTGTCGAGTCTTTTGTAGACCTTGAGCCTCACTTGTCAGAGACCGAGCCAACTGACGGCAGTCTTCAGCGTATCTGGCTACTTCCGAAAGCGGGGAGCACTCAGATGCATCAGGGCGGTACGGGAGTATAGTGTCGAGTGGGTGGGAAGATTCGCGGCCGTACAATAGAAAGAACGGGGAAAAACCGGTAGTCGCTTGTGTCGCGGTGTTATAAGCGAACGTAAGAAAAGGCAATACAGCGTCCCAGTTAGTGTGGTCAAAGGAGGTGTACATCCTCAGCATGTCGCCAAGTGTGTGGTTGAACCGCTCAGCGAGACCGTTTGTCTGTGTATGGTATGCGGTAGATTTCCGGTGGATGATGTTGCATCCAGCGAGGATAGCTTGGATGACCTCCGACAGGAACACTCGACCCCTATCCCTGAGTGATTCCCGCGGAGCACCATGGCGTAGAATGAAGCTGCGGAGAATGAAGAGTGCAACTTCGTGGGCGGTCGCTGCCGGTAGAGCTGCAGTCTCAGCGTAGCGTGTCAGATGATCGACGCCGACAATAATCCACCGGTTTCCAGAGCTACTATATGGGAGGGGGCCATAGAGGTCAATACCCAAACGGTTGAATGGGCGAGCCGGGCACGGGAGCAGCTGTAACATGCCAGTAAGGTGCCGCGGAGGTGTATTGTTTTGTTGGCAAGTGGCGCAAGACTGAACGTATTTCTGCACAAAGCGATGCATTCCTCGCCAGTAATATCGTTGGCGCAGCCTTTCGTAGGTTTTCAGGACACCTGCGTGAGCACTTTGGGGATCTGCATGGAAATTCATGCAGATGTCAGAGCGCATATGAGTTGGGACAGCAAGGAGCCACTTCCGACAACCAGGCATGTAGTTGCGGCGGTACAGAATGTTGTCTCGTAAGAAAAAGTGGGCTGCTTGCCGGCATAGCGCTCTCGTGGAAGGGACAGGAGACGGATCGGTAAGGTAGTCGACTAACAAAACAAGGTATGGGTCTTTACGCTGCTCCGAAAGCATGTCAGTGGTGTCGAGTGGTGACAAGGTGGTAAAAAAGGGGTGACAGAGAAGCCACATCTGGTGTTAATGGCGATCGGGAAAGTGCATCGGCGTCCGCATGCTTGCGACCGGAACGATATACGACACGGATGTCGTATTCCTGCAATCAAAGTGCCCAACGCCCCAGACGTCTGGACGGGTCTTTCAAGGTGGACAGCCAACATAGAGCGTGGTGGTCTGTGACCCCGTCGAAAGGACGGCCGTAAAGGTACGGGCAAAACTTCGTAAGCGCCCAGATTATGGCCAAACACTCCTTCTCTGTCACGGAGTAATTCAATTCAGCCTTCTTGAGAGCGCGACTTGCATAAGCGACTACGTATTCGGTTTGGGTGCCTTTCCGTTGTGCCAAAACTGTGCCAAGACCAACGCCACTTGCATCAGTGTGAATTTCTGTGGCAGCAGTGGGGTCGTAGTGGCGAAGAATAGGTGGTGAGGTCAGCAGGCGGTGCAGCTGGCGAAATGCGTCGTCACATGCAGGTGACCATGCAGATATACCTTTGCTGTTGGAAAGCAGACTAGTCAGAGCTGCGATGATGGACACGAAGTTGCGCACGAAGCGACGAAAATAAGAGCAAAGACCAACAAAACTTCTTAGGGCTTTCAGTGATATGGGCATTGGGAAGTCAGTGACAGCTCGAAGCTTATCGGGATCCGGAAGAACACAGTCTCTTGTGATGACGTGTCCCAAGATGGTTAGTTTTCGGGCTGCGAAGTGGCACTTCTTGGTGTTAAGTTGTAGGCCTGCAGAAGTTAGACACGTCAGAATCTCGTAGAGACGACGAAGATGTGTCGGGAAATCAGCTGAAAAGACTACGATGTCATCTAGGTAACACAAGCAAGTTTTCCACTTGTGGGCACGCAATATGATATCTATCATGCGCTCAAATGTCGCAGGCGCGTTACAGAGCCCAAATGGCATGACTTTGAACTCATATAGGCCATCCGGCCTTACAAAGGCCGATTGATTGATTTGTGGGGTTTAACGTCCCAAAACCAGGCCTTACAAAGGCTGTTTTAGGGCGATCACATTCAGCCATTGGCACCTGCCAATACCCAAAACGCAGATCCAAGGATGTAAAGTATTCGGCGCCTTGTAAACAGTCAAGAGCATCGTCTATTCGTGGTAGCGGGTAGTTATCTTTCTTTGTAATCTTGTTTAAGTGGCAATAGTCCACGCAAAATCTAATGGTGCCATCTTTTTTCTTTACCAGAACCACGGGTAACGACCAAGCGCTCTGAGAAGGCTGTATGGCTCCATGCTTAAGCATGTCATCTACTTGCTCCGTAATGACGTGGCGCTTTTCGGCAGAAATGCGGCAAGGACGCTGTCGCAGAGGCGAATGGGAGCCGGTGTCAATAGTATGAGTGACAGTCATGGTGCGGCCCAAAGCAGGTTTCTGAAAGTCGAAAGAAGAGCAAAACTTGTTAAGGAGAGCAACAAGTTGGCTGCGATGCGAGGGAGGAAGGTCTGCGTAAATAGCATTGTCGAAGGCTGGCGAGCTTGATGGCTCAGACGCATGAGTGATTGCGGCAATTGACATGGTGTTTCATCGGGAAGAATAATATCATCGATAAGGTCTACAGGTTGTACGTATCCTAAGGTTTCACCACGGAGTAAGCCAATGGGGTAGTTGCGGTGGTTGGTAACCAGCATTATGGTTAAACCAGACGTAATTGTAAGAACGGCAAATGGGAGCATGATGCCCTTGCGTTCAGTAAAAACAAGAGATAGCGTAAACACCACCGTGGCGTCAGGTTGCGCCACACATGAAAGACTAATAGGGACTGAAGCTTCCGGAGGCAAGGTGATGTCGTCGTCAGCGATGAGCTTGCAGAGCAGAGGTGAATGGTCGGGCGATGGAAATTTACAAATTTGTACTAGGGAAACTTCCGCACGGCAACAATCGAGGATAGCTTCATGACGTGATAAGAAATCCCAACCCAGGATAAGGTCATGAGAGCAAGATGGTAGTACGAAAAATTGGACGATGTACAAAACGTCTTGGATGACGACGCGCGCCGTACACACAGCCGAGGGATGAATGCGTTGCGCGCTAGCCGTGGACAGCACGATGCCACAGAGAGATGTGGTCACTTTCTTCAGTTTGCGACAAAATTTTGCGTTCATCACAGAAACGGCGGCCCCAGTATCAATTAACGCTTGTGTGGCGACTCCCTCAACATTGACATCAACAACATTTTGCGGCGAAAATGGAGGCCTTGATAATTGCGCAGAAGTTGCAGTTCTTGCCCCTGGAACTGCACTGATTAGTTTCCTTCCTCAGGAGGTGGTCTACGACGCATAGGAGATGGCGATCGGCGACGAGGAGATGGGAAACGAGAAGTTGATGGGCGACGATCCGAGTCAGAGTGCCTCTGTTCGTATGCAGACGTGGTGGCCCGCTGCGACGCATAGGTACGAGTTCCAAAGGAGGCATACGCAGGTGTGGGACGGCGGCGGCAGTAGCGTGCAATGTGGCCAGCGATGCCACACGCGAAGCAGATAGGACGGTTGTCATGGGTGCGCCACTCATTAGATGGACGGAAAAAGCGAAGTGAGGGCCTGTAAACTGGAGGCGTTGCCGAAGGAGGTGGAGCCGATAAGGATACTGTATGCGGTGGGGGCCGCGCAACCACAGCTGCGTAGCTGAGAGGTGAAGATGGCGCAGGTGGTGCGTAGCTGACAGCTGAGAGATTAGACACTGCTGAAGTGCATGCGTATGGGGCCTGCACTGTAGGGAGGACATCGCAAATTTCAGTGCGTATGGCCTGCTGCAGTGTCGAAGGCAGACTTGCGGTGGGCACGTCGCTATGCGGCAGCAGGGAGAGCTGTCGGGCGACTTCCTCCCTGTTGAAGTCTTTGATCTGGTTGGACAGACTTCCTTGGCGAACGTTGGCATTTGCGAGTGCGACAGCTGAGATCGAATCCGGTGGTGAGACACTCTGTCGGGCGATGGAACGCTGACGGCGTAATTCATCGAAGCTCTGGCACAGGCTTACGAGGATTGCCACCGAGGTCGGGCTTTTCACTAGCAACATCTGGAGTGCGCCATCCTCAATGCCCTTGAGAATCTGCCGAATTTTCTCTTCTTCAGGCATAGATGGATTAACACGCCTGCAGAGGTCGAGCACATCCTCAATGTAACTAGTAAACGTCTTGCCAGGCTGCTGTGCTCGGTGGCGTAGACGCAGGTCAGCGCAGAGCTTGCGGACCAACCAGTGCGGCTTGCGACCAGTGCGCCTTGCGGACCAGAAAGGACACAACGTCTTTTGCAGTGGTAGCAGGCAGCTCAGATGTTTCAGTGTAGTGCGTCAAATGATCGACGGCGATGATAGTCCACCGGCTGCCTCTAAGAGTGTTGGGTAGAGGACTATAAACATCAATTCCGACGCAGTCGAATGGTTTCACTGGGCAGGTTAAGGGTTGCAAAGGGCCAGCAGTGGCAGGGCTGTGAGAAGGCGTGTTGCAGCATTGACACGTGGTGCATGACCGAACATACTGGCGAACGTGCCGATACACGCCACGCCAGTAGTATCTTAGACGAAGGCGAGAGTAAGTCTTAAATACTCCAGCGTGGCCACACTGGGGGTCATCATGAAAGGCAGCGCAGATGTCCGAACGCAAATGATGAGGCATGACAAGGAGCCACCTACGGCCGTTCATCACGTAATTGCGGTGATACAACAAGCCTTCACGGACGGCAAAGTGTCTTGCTTGACGAGAGAGGGAGCGTGAAGTCGTTTCTGACGAACTGTGAGAGAGGACGTCGAGCAAAGAATTGATCCAAGGATCCTTGATAAGCATCTTTATCTTTTTTTAGCCACAATGAACAATGATTATCGCAAGCTGGACAAACAATGCAACAGAATATAGGGATAACTTTAGTCAGTCTACATAATGTTAGCTTAATTTTCCTTATTCAGTCAAGCTTTGACTCTCAAAAGTTAATTGAAGTCGACATTCATTTTTCACATTTAACTATTCAAGAACTTAATATTCAGCTTGTTTCATGTATCTGAGCGTCTATACTGTACTACCTTAAAGTTAGAGGCTATGAATATTGTACCTAACAGAACTGAGGTTATCAATGTGCAATTTAATCAGCATCAATTGTTGACCTTACAAAGGAATATGACAGAAATTCAAGCTGAAGTTCTTAAGTTAAATGTTACCTTTACTAGGTTGTCAATGCAGACACCAAGTGGTAGCTCTGATGGGTCTGGCTCAAAAAAGCCAGCATCAGCTGAAACCATAAGCAAATTTCAGTGGTTAGACAACAGTATAATGAATAGTCAATAAACATTTCACTAAACACAGACATGTGTTAGTGCCTCATAAGCTTAGTAAGCTTAAGGCAATTTGTTCACATAGTGAATAAATTGCCATAAGCTCACTAAGTTTACAACAAAGTCTGGCTTTGGTGGGAGGCTTTTTTACAAAATATTCAAGGAAAACAGGCTCGTCCGCTATGAAGCCATCTCATTAGAGGAAAGAAAAATGCACGCCACTTCTGAGCTTTGATCAATGTCAAAGACAGGTTTGACATAAACAAAGACAGTGTTCATAACACAAGTACCTGTTCGACCTTCCATTGCACAAGCTTGCTCTTCTTCAGTCACAGACAAGTGGGCCGCATGCTTCCGCAATAACTTCCGCCAGAAGTACCGCAAAGAGCCATATTCAAGGTCATGTCTGCCACCACCAAACCAGTAGCTGTGGGTCAATGGGAAATACCATGGTCTAGGGAGACCATATGAGCCTAGGAGACAATATGTAGAAGCAATTATAATTGAGCAATGCAAGTATACAAGTATTTTTTACAATTCTCAGGTTGTAAAGCATATGTTGGCCTGTATTTTAGAGTTACACAAGAGTATTTATATTTATCTATTTATTTTTTTTAAGGCCGAATCACAAATGTAAGCATTCATTAAAATACACTGAGATACAGCATAACAGGCAACCAAATGTGAACCTTTCAAAAAATTAATTTGAGTGCAAACACACAACACATTCACAAACACACACACCCAGGCATCAAACACGCACAGTGCTCTATGGCATGTGAACCTGCACATGCCATAAGAAGTACAAAACGCAATCGGGACCTATAATTACTTAAAGCCTGATCAGAAACCGGAAGAAATCGAGGGACCCTTTAGCTTTGTACTTAACAGTTAAACATGATGATATCCACACACAACCATGCACATGCACGTGCCCACATGCACTCTATCGCCTTCCCAATTACTAGCCTGCCTTCAATTCTTGCTGGAGACAAACTCTGCTCCAAGGAAAGCCACAGTGAAGGTCCCCTCTGGCTCTTATTTTTATTTGCATCTACCTGAATTCTCTCTCACAGCCAACGCAGCTTTTTTTTTTTTTTTTTCGCTCCCAACATAAGACACTGATGCCACTGACACTAGAACTTATGCGGAACAAACTTTTTAGCACTGTCAAATTAAAACAGAATTGACTGTTTCTAGTTATATTGATGTACATGTTAATCGACACTTCCAATACCTTCTTTTTCAGCAAGAGAGTACCCAAATTGCACTACAGTCAATTTACACAGACCTGCCAGGTTGACTAAATCCTTGTAAATTAACACATTTATAAAGTGCAGATAATGTATTTAAACTTGTAGCTTAAATGCATTTAATTCATGTGACAACTTTTACAGTAGCCTGAAGAACTTGTTCACACCATTTACTAACTTGCTCACTCCACTTAAATTCACTCACACCCTCTGGTTCAACTCACTCACTCACTCATAATTTTATTTTTCAGATGGTAAAACCTGAGCCTCTTACCTGGGTGCACATTCTCAATGTACCAGACGAGCAAAGAATAGATGAAGGCATCGATTAGCATCATAAAAGCGACATGGGCCAGGCTAAATGTATCATCTTCAAGGGGCGAAATGCCTATGTTGGCCCACTGCACTCCAACTCCGACCTCCTCATAGAAGGCAAAATATTTGGCACCCAAGCCAAATGCTGTAGTAGAAAGCAGGGACTGCAAAAAATAACAATAATCACAAAATAATGCTAGCTGAATAAAGAAGGGCAAAGACTCTCCTCTGTCAAATTCAACGCCAAAAATAAAATTTTTACGAGTTCAGTTGAATATACAAAAAATACCTACTCATAAGCAACATGATGAAGATGCCTAAACATGCAATTCCAACAACCAGTTGACTTAATAGAAGATAACTAAACACTTGCTTAGGTAGGCCCAATTTTATGCGACTTCTTTATGCAGGCAGAAAACAGTGAGAGTTGCACATTGTTTTGCTGGAAAGAAATCCGCTGCAGACAAAAAAAAAACTTTTTAAAAATGAAAATCTTTTATGAATTTTGTTTACTTCACGGACTTCTGCTTAAGTGATTTTCCATTCGTGGTTGCTCCTAGGTATAATACCAAAGCAGACGTTTTTTGCAAAGCTTTGTTTCTAAGGAAACCAAATAAGCTTCTTGAATTTTAGTTTCATTTTGTAGCTACTATGAAGGAATAATTTCTTTCATTATTTAACACAGCCTGTACAAATTACTGTTCTCTACAAGTGACCATGGAGGTTCTAACACTAGTTTAATGATGCTCAACTAGGCCTGCTTTTTAACCGATGGAAGTTAACCAAGCATGATTGAGTGCAGGAAAAGTAGTGAATGTTCGAAGTCTGCTACTTTCAAAAACCTCGTAGAATGAAGAAAAACCACTTGCACAGGCCTGCTACAACAGTATGAACAAATGTTTTTTTTGTATGAATAATGATGCATGCATATTCTCATTCATGAAGCTTATAGAGAAACAGCTTTGCTGCATAGCATACATATTATCTATACTAGCATTTTTTCTGCAAAACTGTGGGTTAAAAGTGCATTCCTGCACCTCAATTTCTACTGGCTCATTAGCAACCCTTTGTAATACTTGATCTGTGCAAAGCGCTACCCAGCAAAAGCAAAGCAGATAAGGCTAGCAGACCAAATCAACTTTTCACCGCAAACCATGCATCCGTCCAGCAATTATTCCCAATGCTTCAGCGCATGTCAACTCTGATTGTCTACGCAAAAGCCTTCTGGGTGCTTCCTCTTCCTTAAGTGCCGAATCATTGGGAACTTCCATACAACATCAGAAGTTATATGGGCTTCTCGCATAACAGCAGAAGTCTGTTTCCGATCCAAAAATATTTACTCCAACTTGACTCTATAAAAATTGGGCTGATAGTGACAGGGTGAAAACAACAATGTACTGGAAGCAATATGACACCAGAAAGTTTTAGTCCTTTCAATCTCATTTTCTGACCAAACACAAACGGTCCCAAGTTGTGAGGACTTTCTTGGGACGTGATGCAGTGTGCTCTGATCAGCAGTGTGCTCTGATGAGCAGTTGCGGCTACATGAAGTGGAAAATATGGTTGGTATGCTGGACCGACATTATCCCAAGAAGTTTATTAATGGCACCCAGAAGTGCATGCGGAAAGGAATGAGGAGTGCGCCACGAGAAAAGACGGCGCCCATTGTGCCTATTTCTTATGTTCAAGGTATATCAGACTCAGTTTGGAGGGCCTTGCAGCCGCTGAGCCTAGGAACCATTTTTAGGACTCATTACTCCTACAAGCTAAACTCGAAGACCGCACACCTTCAAACGATCAAAGCGGGGTCATTTACAAAGTACAGTGTGAAGAATGTGACGCTACTTACATTGGTTAAACAGGCAGGAAACAATCAATGAGGGTTGAAGAAAACGAAGGGGACATTGCTAAAGCCACCCATGCCACACATTCTAAGATAGAGCTCGTTTAACACTGCTGGAAAACAGGGCATATTTTTGACTTCCACAATGCAACGACACTGGCTCAAGAACAAAGGTGGAGGAAAAGAAAAGCCCTGAAATTGTGGTTCATTCGTTGTGACAAGTCGGCTAGAAACAACAACAACCGCCCCCTACCAGACATTTACAGGGACATACGTGTCTAGCAATGAACTGGGCAACCTCCGCTTATTTGGTGTCAGTGCATGCCGAGGATACCACCTGCATAGGTGGTGAAACATCTGTGTAATTTTGTTAATTTTGTTGAGTTAAGTTGGAGTAAATATTTTAGAATCATGAACTCACTTGGCTTTTGGAACATTTCTGCAAGTCTGTTCCCACAAAAATGGCACATAACTACATAGCCATCACAGTTAGGTTGCTGTATGTCTGTAATGGTCTTTGCCTGCTGCCTATAATCCATGACTGCTATAATGTAAGCTAGCTTGAGCCAATAAAAACTACATTTAATGGCACTCCAACTTGGGATTAACCCCTGCACTATGTTGTACCTAATCATAGGCCTGTATTCAAAACCAGAATTTAACTTTCGCAAAAAGTTAACTCATGAAAGTTAAAAAAAAAAGTACAATTTTGAGATAAGTAAGGCGAAAGTTTCAAATACTGCACCTTGGGCTCACTTATGAAAGTAATACCTTTCTGAATAAGTAAAGCTCCTAAACACAAGGATATAGCTGTTTTCATACTTGTTTTATTAAATAGAGTGTCTAGTGTTTCATTTCATTAAACACCTGAAGTAAATGTTCCAGTCTTTTAGAAAGGTATATTGCGTAAGAAGCAAAATAAATATTGCTCGCTGTTGTTGGATTTTCAGTTTTTCCCTCACAACAACTAGTAGCTGACACATAATGGCAGTCGCTATAAAGTGGCTGTCCCAACTTGGGGTAGTTTTGTTGTCTACAAGTGTACGTGTTCGTTATTATGAGAAAATATAGTGGGCAACACAAATAGTTTGTCACCTTACATGCATTAAACTTATTCAATTCTTTTTATGCTTTTTGGCATAGGGTGCATTTTGCTAACTTCTTTTCATTTTCTGAGTGCCCTTGGCATTCTCCATTTTTTCTAATAAGGGGGCACCCCGTTACCATAAAACAGAACCATCAACAAGAAAACATTTTTCAGAGGTGAGCGTCTTTTGCCCCACAGTTTTAGCCAGGCGTCCACGGAAGTTCTGTGAACACAGGCTGCCAAACATTTAGTTGAGTGCTCGCAGCTGGGATGCATGCTGCCAGCAATTTTTAAACAAAACCCTGCGTCTGCAGAGCTGCTGCAGATGCCCAACTAAAGATGTTTGACGAAGTGAACAAAAGAACCTGACCTGTCAAAATTATGCCACCATCATCATTGTGGCGCAGAGATAGAATTTGAATCCGGCTCATGTCGCACTTTAAAAAGTGGTATCTGCACGCGAATCCAATGTCTGTAGCAGTTCATTGAATTCTGCGGAGCCCTGAATAAAGTACACGACATCCTCACAAATGATGCTTAATACAGAGCCTTCAGTTCTTTCGTCAATGTGAGGAAAGAAATCTGCAAAGAGCGAGACTGCCATAGTAGTATCCAGCCACGCAGCTGAAGTTAAGTACACATCAAGGTAGCTGCGATGCTACCTCAACAGTGACATGACCTTTTGAACTCGAGTGCCGAGAAAAGCTCCTGTTAGGAGCAAGGCTGATTCTTGAAAGGCATCAAGGGTCGGTTGCACACTTATGTGAAAATTTAAGTATAAGGTTGGTTCTTGAATATCGCGATAGTGTCCTTTGTGCACTGTTAAATAGAAGATCCATTTTTTTAACTGCTAGTTACTTAATGAGCCTCATGCAAGTGCAGCTCCACACAATCTAAATATAAAAAAAAAGCTACACGACTACTTTAGCACACTTAAACTTAAGAACTTGAAAACTATGAAAGGGACATACACTCAAACTTCCATATAACGAAGCTAGATATAACGAAATATCGATCATAACAAAGTAAATAAGAAATAGTCTTGGAATAGATATTGTGTTCTCAAATATGATGAACTTATTTTCATGTAAGATGCAACTTTGTTATAACTAGGTTTGAGTGTACTTTATATATTGTGGTGTACACGTATCCCGAAGGAGTGCGGCCACCAGCGTGGGTCCGGTCTTAGCGAGCCGCAGGGCACGCCTTAACCGTCGCCGTGGCGAGCACACGATACTGCTCAAAGTCGCAACACTTTATTGTGGCAACACCAAACGCAGTACAGCTCGTTGCGAAGGTGCGGCGAGAAAGCAAATAGGCTTATCCACGCCATGGGCACAAAAGTACTACACAGGGTGCCACGAGCACGTCTCCGCGGTAAAGGTGATCCACGGAGGTACCGGTACCACGGCCACGCACTACGACATCGTACCGCCCTTCGGCCATGCGTACGCAGCGGGGCAACAAAAGGTGAGCGTTCGCCTCGGGCGCGAGGCGCCGTCAGCGAAGTCCGACAAGCCCTGAGCGACGAGGATCGACGGACGGAAAAGATTGCGTGGCTCACCGTTTGCAGTCCCGGAGAGTATCTGTCTGCCCGCTCCCGACGCAGCGTGCGAAAACCTCTCGGGAGGCTTCGCGTGCAGCGCAACAGTCAACATCCGCTACCGGGTGAGGGGGTTAAACGTCACTCCTCTCCCCCAGCGCGGCAGGCAGCAAAGGAGGGGAGACGACATGTCGGGACATGAGAACGGCAGAAAAGGCGGTAAAGCCCGCGCTAAGGCAGCGGGCTAGCCTCAATTCCCATAATATTTAATAATATTTCATTTAAGATAATTAGAAAATCAAATTATCTGCAATATTCGTGCTTTAAATAAAGTTTTTTTAAAGCCTACAATAAAAATTTCATTATTAATCAGAATTCTCTTTTGCTTTTCTTACAATTTTTCAAAGGTTAACCCTCTCATATAATATTCAACAGTATAGTATGAACTCATATTTCTTCGTATAAAGCGGTATAACCAAGAACATTATGAATTAGCATATTTTAAATGTCAAGGAGTGAACTTTATTGCAACCAGATGGGGTTGCTGATAATGCAAGTAGTTACGTCTATTGCAATGTCAAGTACAACTTTTACAATTTATTTCCCCCCCTCCCCAAAAGTCAATTGCTTGAGTAATTACATTTGCACCAGCCTTCAAAGATTTTAGTTTCTTTCGTTACGTGTAGAGTGCTCTTTAGTGGTAGAGGGCAAAGTCACATTTATATAGCTGTTTTCAGAGTAAAATACATTCCCAGTTCTTTGCAATTTGTAAAAAGACGTTCTCCAGTACATGCATTCCAGAAAAATGAATGACCATCAGACTCACAGCAAGGCTTTTCAACCAAGCAGGTATATTGTTGTGAGCTGCTTCTTCTCTAACAGCTATGTACATGTAGGGCACATAAGTAAGAAAATAGATGATGCCTGCACAGGCTGCTGCAAGCTTGGCCTTGGAGTATAAAACACTCACTAGAAACCTACAAAGAAAGGAAACAAACTTTCAGGCATAAAATGTCTTCAATAACAGGAGCACAAAGAGTCATGCGAAAATTTCAAATAGACATTAGTATTCGCCAGAACAGCGTTAAAATAAAACTAACATAATATACTTTTTTTATTTTCTGGGGAGCCATCTCATGAATCGCAACAGTTAGTACTAATCAATAGCAACAGAAGCAAGAATGTGTCAGGTCAATTGTATCGAGCTCACCAGCTATCAAACTTACACACACTGTAGCTTGAAAGACCAGTATTAGAGTATCATATTCAAGATACAAACTTAAAAAATGACATTATTTAGCAGTGCCGTTGTCTCATTTTCACTGCCAGAGATACCAGTGCTATCAAAACATTTTGTATAACTGTTGCAATTACAGGGAGTGAAAGAGAAGAAATTAAAAGAGGAAGAAAATGTGTATAAAAATTCTAAATAATATTACCCTTTTGAAAGTAAACTACAAACACATTGTCATGAACAAGTCTCAACTGGTCAATACCTTACATTTATGGCTTTGTATGTTTGAAAAATGCACCACTTTTTCAACTATTTTTACCCAGCAAGCACTGTCCCCCTGCAAATATTCGTTTTTCTCCCACACCATTGATCTTTGGTTTTCATTCCAAGGTCTACTTAGACTAGTGCATTGGCTATTGTTCACACATGGACAAGTGTGCAGTGGTACATACGGTTTTGCCGCGAGAGCAGTTTTTGTTTATTGTGCTCGTAAAAACTGATTTCATGTGTGAAATCAGTTTTTGACAGCAAAAAAATTGATGTTTTTTAAACCTCTGAAGAGTAACCACTCAGTACTAGCTCATTCATTACCCGCAGAGTTGAGATTTTAGGTGTTCCCAGGTGGGCACTGGTATATACGAGGGCCGTTCAAAAAGTAAGGGCCGTTTGATACCCTAAAAATAAATATTTATTTATAAAACATTTTTATTGGCAGGTTTAGCTTAGTAAAACCTTAGTTCAATTTCCTACACAGTCACCATGAATTTATAAGCACTTTTCATATCACTGCATCAGTTTCTTTAGTCCCTCTGCATAGAAGTTCCCCGCCTGGGAATTCTTAGCAATGCGAGTTGATCGGTAAGCATATTTGGTATCCAGCTTGCACACACTTTATGAATTCCAAGCTTTTCAGTCACAATCACGTAAATTGTAGAGCGGTCAAGAAAAGGAAACCTATCCAACAAACTACAGTCAGTTGTCGATCTAAATGCAATTCACAGCCCATATGTCGAGCAGTTTTATTAGTGGAAATGCTGAACCTGCCACTCTGCTCTTCGTCGCATATATCGTGTGGCCATTTGTGAAGTATCGGCCCCATTTTCTGACCTTCCTTTCAATAATCACTATAGGTCCATAAACTAGGCACAACTCCCCATGAGTATGAGAAGCTGATGGCCCTTTTGTCAGCAAAAATCGAATCGCAGGTTGCACTTCCCGAATAGCAGGAGCAAGGATTCTCGCGGACAGTGTCATCTCATCATCTCCTTTGCCTGTCGGGCAGATGACTACTGAGATAAACAAAATAACTTAAGCAGCTTGCAGAAAAATGAAAAGATGACCCTGTGCAAATAAATCTTTATTTTGATGTGTAAATATTTAAATAATACCAAACAGCCCTCACTCCTTGAATAACCCTCGTACAAACTATGACACCATATATGAATGTTGCTACTATGCCTCCATATTTTTATTTTTAGTAAAAGCATCTTTCAAGCCTGTGAAACACATTATTATTAAAAAAGTATTTTCAGTGGCGTAAATATATTTCTTTTAGATTCTTATTTTATTTATTCATGAATAAGCAATGCATCTGCTCGTATGAGCCACAATTATTCACTGCCCTCGCACACTTTGAATTGCATACAAAACATGAAGTGTGCAAGCACTGATATCCCTGTCCGACATTATATGAAACCTCACAGTGACGACAGTTGTGGCAAAAATGCGCCTGGAGTGTCCATGTAGTTGCTATAACAATAAGGCTTTTTTTTGTTTAATTATTCTAGTTAAATTGCCGATAGCTGCCTTTCCATGTAAGTGGAGAAAGCAGCTGTCTCCTCATGGCTTTTGTCATAAAAATCACTTTCGATTTCATTGACACAGATAAAGCAGATAAAACACAGATAAAAATATTGTGTGAGTTGGGAAGCTTACTCTCGCAAATGCTCACACATCCACCCGAGTAACACACACGACACTCGGGTGGATGTGTGAGTGTTTGTGTGAGTGGTTGCGAAGGTCAAGGTTGTGCTAAATATTTTACAATATGACAAATAACCAACTAGCTCAACAACAAGTTTTATTGAGAAGCTGGTATGCTGAAGCTGCCCTTGGATTTCAGTGCCAACTAAAAGCACTTAAAAGACACTTTATAGCATTTTTTGTCATCTTGGTTTCAACTAAATTGATTTAAACTCCTAAAAAAGTCACAGCTATCATGTGTTTCATTTTCTCATTTAGCTATGCATCCATCCAACTTGATATCCAAGATGACGTTTTTATTTAGTTGCTTCTGGGTTAATTTTGAAAAAACCTAGGCACAATCTAATAGGGTACCAACGATACAGAGGAAAATATAGTAGACTCTGTGTAAACGAAAATCTATTAAATGGAGCTGCTGCTTAAATGAAACAAGTGCTTCTGACAAAATTAGTTTCGTGGTTGTATTCTATGCCCTTGTTCATCTCTCAGTAAACAGAACTCCTGTTAAATAAAACATGTGTCCCTCATCCCTTCAGGTCCATTTTAACGAGAGTTTGCTGTAACTAGAAGAAATTTTTTTCAAGAAAAACACTCACGAAAAGGCAATGTTGGCAATCACGAATATCTCAAGGACTAAGAAAAAGATCAAGGGGTTGCTGTAGGTCAATACACGTCCATATTTCAGCAATGCAGTCAAGACAGCTGCTGTTATGGTCATTTGAATGAAGCTCGTGATGAACCAGGCAAGCCAGTGAACTGCATTGTTCAAGCCCATAGTCTTCATCACCTGTAGGGTGAGGAACAAACACATTAGAATAATGTGGGCATGAATACTCTCCGACATCACTATCAGCACAGCAAACACATGAATGTTTTGTGCAATTAAAAGAGCGGGTTTAGAGATCAAGCTTACTTACTTCTTTTAGTCGTTTTTCTTTTTCATAAACAACATTTTGAACTAGCATTGCAACAGAGTAGACCCATGAAATCGCCATGCATAATGGCATCACATGTTCAATCATAAACAGGAACCTGAAATACAAAGGCAAATTAAGTCAAGAATAAAAGAATGCAGGCATGCAAGCTTGATTTGATAACAGAATGCTCATACTGGTCCTGTATGTAGCATGGATATGGAAACTGGTGAATGTAGGTGCCAGGCTCAGTGACATCTCGACCAGTGTACACATTCACCATTGCACGCTCAAGGATATCCTATAAGTAGACACGTACAGTAATTAGCAGCAGGAAGGTCTATAGCTTCAGTGATAATGCATACATCAAGGACAGAAGCTCTCTTCAGCTTTCATATTGAGAAGCAAACAAATCCATTATTTTCACATAACAGAAATTATGTACACTACTCAGTGATTGAGAAGTGAGTGCATGGCTGGTGGTGTGTGATGCGTTTCTGGACAGTGCTTATGAAAGTGAGCGATCTTCCAGCGATTGCATTTGGACCACATTTGTTTGTTGTGGGTTTCACCATGTCACTAGCAGAATACTCTAAACATTTGCTGGTTTCTATAACACAGATGCATGCTGTACCACACGAAGTGACTGTTTTATGGTTACTTTCATGACATGAATTGGTAGCACATACTTCAGAAAGGGCTTCAATGCATGTTTTCAAAGTTGTGCCAACGTGGCATATGCTGTCCCAGCAGATATAGGGTAATAGCACCACACTGCGTACTCAGGAAAATGAAGAGGAACAGGCAGAGAAGTATCATCTAAGGTATGTTAAAAAACGAGAAAAAAGATACACAATAAAAATAAGCTAATGCTCCCAGCACCTTTGACTTGTTAGCCTAACGAATAATCATTTGAAATGTGATGTAACATACATAATGTAAAATGGAAAAAATATGCATTCGTATCAGCTGTACCATGCACCCAACTAATTCCTACAGCAAAAGTAGCTGCAGTATGGTCACTTTGCATGTGTGACACATGAGCATAGTTAAGAAACGAGGGCTGGCAGCACTATGCCAGTGTTACCGCAAAACACAGCCACATGACAGTTCACATGAAGCAGTCGCTATACGTCACTAATGTCCTTGCCTTCGGCTTATGCTGCAACATATACCGCAAAGCATTAGCTCCCTTTCATCAGGACTTGATGGCGCAATAGCGCAGGCAGTCACATGCTCCAGGTACCACATTTCATTCACCGAGTACTGTACATGACACAGTACAGGACTTGTCAATAGAGGTCGAAAATTGCTCGTCGACTTCAGTTTATTTTCCTTTAATGTTGGATAGCAAGCACTTCCCGTACTCAACATACACACACTTTGCAATACCAAAGCTCTGCTATTCAAATTGTGCAAAGAGTGGTGCACCTAAAAAGAACTTTATCAGCCAGAGTAACAATTGTCTTTTGTCGACTAAATCCCAGTTCTTAGTCCACTTGAACAATTTCCCTGGTCTGGTTACTGAGCTTGTTGCTACGCTATCATAATGCCAACTCATGTAGCCTTATCCAAATTCTCACCACCATTCTAAAAGCCATTATCTAGCCCTTTGAGGGTTGCTTCTTTTTAAAGAAATATGCCCCAAAAATGAACATCTTTTTTTAATCGCTGAAATTAAGTGTTCAAAAGACTCTCTTTAAGAAAAAAAAATTGTCTAAAGCTTTTTTTTCTGAGATTCTAAACTGGATAGTCACTAGTTCTATGGGCACAAAAAGCGAAACGGTCGATTAACGAAACCAAACTAGTGGGTGCACCACTGCAATAAAGCATTTAAAAAAAACACAGCAAGAAATTGGTGCAAGAGAAAAATTCTATGTATTCTTGCAGGGTGGCAGCATGTTCCAAGCGAGAGAAACAATTGAAGAAGGTGTGCGTTTTAAAACACACAGACAATGAGGGGCATGCAGTTTGGCAGTCTTGAAGCTGTTAGCGGATGACGTACATGTACGCTTTTGACCCTCAGAGGGCTAGGGCATATTTACTTCTTTTGTTAGTGTAGATTGATGAACTAATCACAACTTTCAATGAAGTTGGGCAGCCAATAATCTTCTTGCACATAATCACAGCCCACACTTTGCAACTAGTAGAAAGAACGACTTTGGTAGACATTGCTGTCTGCTATCATCAAACGACTACCACTGAAATGACTGCCCCGCCACGGTGGTCTAGTGGCTAAGGTACTCGGCTGCTGACCCGCACGTCGCGGGATCAAATCCCGGCTGTGGCGGCTGCAATTCCGATGGACGCGGAAATGTTGTAGGCCTGTGTACTCAAATTTGGGTGCACGTTAAAAAACCCCAGGTGGTCAAAATGTCCGGAGCCCTCCTCTACGGCATTTCTCATAATCATATGGTGGTTTTGGGGCGTTAAACCCCACAAATCAATCAACCACTGAAATGACTACCGAGCATATCTGCAGTCAGCAAGCAACTACAGCATAAAAAATAACTTCAGTGCCTTCAAGAACAATCAATACTGGATGGTGATGCACGTGCACAACTTTGATCTGACCCGCCTATATTCTAATACTACAAGCAAATGGCTCTCACTTTTCAAATATGCCTACTAACTATGAAAATACTTGGTATCTTGCAGAAAACATCCTACTTTTATGTTGTTCATAACTGTCTACAAGTTTTATAATTTGATTGGCAACTAAAACAGTAAAATTCATAAATAATTTTTATCATTAGCAAAACAAATTAAAAAAATTTACTGAGGGTTGCTCAGCTTGACTTCAAAAAATACTTATTTAACAATTACTCTTACCTTTTTAAATGTTGGTACATACCGTAAAAACCAGAATATAGGTTGAATTTTAAAAATGCAATGAAAAGACAGCTTTTGTCTTATATACCGATCAGTGGTAGAAAAAAATGTGCAAGTCCCACAACATTGGGCAGCTAGAGTCAAAAGTCTCTACTGCCATCGTGAGCATCAGCAGCGACTCCGTGGGGCAAGCCTAGGCAAGGCCTAGAGTATTTTAGCAATGCCATTTTGCCTCGGTTATCTGCTGTCAGTCTGCTGTTTCCTTTTTTTTTTCTTTCCTTCAGAAATGAGTGGTAGTCGATGGCAGTTTATAATAGGCTTTAAGAAAAAAGTTATCGAGTATGCCGAAGCGCATGGCAACCTGGAGCACAACGAGAATTTGGTGCATAGGAGAAAAGCGTCTGATACTGGAGGAGCCAAAAGCAACACATCAAATCCTGCTGCAACCAAAGAAACATTGTTTTGTGTATTGACTGCAGTGCATCCTGAACTGGAAATGCTGCTCGCTGCATTCATTCAAAAGCAAGGTCGCTGCCTGTAACAGAGAAGCGTATCCGCATGATAGCTCTCAAGATAGCACGCGACTATGGGCTCACGAGGGTGCAATTCAAGGGATCGCCATCATGGGTGCGCCCACTTATGAAGCAAAAGCGCTTTATGCTAAGGCGGCGTACTTCCGTCTTTCCAAAAATGCTGCATCAGTAACGCATTGAATTGAACAGACGACTCGGGGACATTAGCAGTGAAAAGCAAGCATCGTCGGACTCAAGTTAGGATGAGTCTGAGTGACAGCCCTTAGTGGCTTTCTGGCGTTTAAGTACATAAGATTAGTGTCCAAATAGAAAAAAATGTCACCTCAGTGCAGCTGGTTGTGTCGAGTATTTACCAAGGTAAGGGTGCGCCACGATACCTTGCGATTTTTAAAAATTTCCTTTTCGGAAAATTCAAAGTTTGGGGAATTTACTTATATTCCGGTCTGACCTATACACAATATTCACGATAATTCAAACTATCGTAATTCATACTTTTGGTTAATTCAAACTAAACACAATTTTTTGGTTTGCTTTTTATTCCTTCAATGTATTTTAAAATCTTTTAATTTAAACTCCTTCATTCGGTTAACTCATACTTTTTGTGGTTTCCAATATACCAGAAAATATCTGCTGCTTTCCTATTACTTTTATAAATTTGTGCGCTTGTATAATCCTAACAGTCTAAAAATGAAAAATAAACCCATCCGGCCTTCAGGAAAAAGGCTTTGCTAGTAAGCAAATGTTGTAAATAAAGCACACACAAGGTAAGCCACGATGCTTCTCAACAAGAATATAGGGCTTTGTGCTGAAGGCACATATGTAGGATTGACACCTGCAAAGAAGCAGGTGGCAAATCATGATTTTGTTAAGAGATCTGACCAGTAATGGCCAATAAACTTGTTGATTGATTGATATATTGGGTTTAATATCCAAAAACCACCATATGATTATATGAGATGCCGTAGTGAAGGGCTCTGGAAATTTCGACCACCTGGGGTTCTTTAACGTGCACCCAAATCTGAGCACAAGGCCTACAGCATTTTCGCCTCCATCAAAAATGCAGCCACCACAGCCGGGATCCGATCCCACAACCTGCAGGTCAGCAGCAGAGTACCTTAGCAACTAGACCACCGCGGTGGGGCGCATATAAACTTGTAGACCTTAGACCTCTGCTTTTTGTTCGTAGGGTGCAGTTAGGGTTTAAAAACATTTATAAAAATTTTGATGTAATAAAATCAATGTGACACCTTGCCCAGAGTCATATATCTGAGAACTCCAGATTCTTCAAACTTCTTGATAATTAAAAAAAATCCAGAGATCCCTTCGAGTTTGAATTAAATTGACCGTATTCCGGTTTTTACGGTAATAGTTGGTACACACTTCTATATTTCCGGAGTGTTAGCTCATTATGCACATACTTATTGTACATTTCACTAATAGCTTTCGAGCGTTTCAAAGCACTACCATACCTGCCAAGTTCAAGGATTCTGAATACGGGAAATTTCTAAAACAGGCGAGGGAGGAGGGGTAATTATTTGACCCTATTTTTTTTTTGACACAAAAAAAAAACAAGGACAAACAAAGAAAAACATTGTGAAAAACAAGAGGGGATAGAGCATCAATCACAATCACCAATGTCGGCATTGCGGTCTTATAGTGGCTTGGAGTGGCCGAACACACGAGGGTAGGATTTCCCACTAAGGTGAGAGTCTAAAAGAATCCACACAACTAGTAGAATTTATTTCCGTCAAAACAATTCGTGTGTGTCTTCATGGGAAACACGTGAACGAATGGGACGGCGCAGCTGGCTGCCGCAAAATCACTGGTCAAACCTTTGCTCCTTACTAGATTCTTTTGACAGGAACGCCAAAACGCGTCTGGCCTTTTCTTGTGACATACTTACTGCCTTTACTCTACCCCTGCATTAGCCGCGTGCCCTCTGAGCTCGTAGATCGCTATCACGTCGCAGCGACCGCGGTATTGTGCGCGGCAGTTGCAGCGGTATATTTGCTCTTTCAGCCCCGTGCGCTTGGCTGCGTACGCCCCTCCAAACTAAGTCGTTTTATGCCATCTACGATCGCAACTGCCGTGGTTTTGTCTGCAGAGTTTGCCGAAAGCAGCATTGCTTTGACTGGTTGAGTGTTGAGTGTTGGACATGCGCACACTTTTGGAGTTCTGTCAGTTACGTCATAGCCATACATGATCGTGTCAAAAACGACCGCGGTTTTGTCCACAGCGGTTGTGGCTACAACAATCACACTCACTGTAGAAGACAGTGCATGCGCCAGTCGCATGCTTACTTCTGAAGCTTTGAGTACACAGCTCTTGTCCTTCGTTCGATGGTTTCTGCACTAAAGTTTGTGTCACCCGCCACGATTAGGAAATGTGTTCAGAACATTTGAATTTAGACCCAATGTATTCTGGGCACTATACCAATGGGAATAGTGGAATTTGGCTGGGGAATTTCACGAATTCGTATCTGCCGCAGTTTCACACTGAGATTCTACTTTATGTTTAGATGAATGCTTCTTAAATTCATTTAAAATAAAAAAATGTGGTAGGTTCGAAAAGCCTGAAGCAGATTGAGTTATTTTTTGTCAATGTGGCCAGATCACGCACAGAAATTTTGAGTTCCAGAAGATTTTCATGACAACTGTACAAATGGAAGAAACGGTCGAAATCCAGGAGTATACCGGCCAATCCGAGAGACTTGGCAGGTATGCACTACAGTAGCATGCTTTACGTTGATGTCAGCAGCGACAGAGATGCTGCCTTAGATGCACACATGTTTACTACAGAAGGAGGACAGCTTTCTTCTTCCAGCTTCTGAATGCTGTGGCAAGGTGCTGTGCATTCTACAAAGGCATAATTTGCCTAATCCTCATTTTAATTCCTATTTTAACAGGGTCCACATCGTGTTCATATGAGTTGAAAAGCCATGAGAACCAGCCAAATGTTCTATAAAACACAAGTTACATTTCTAGAGCTGTAACAATTGTTTTACCTGCAGCCACACGAATCCAAATTGGTAGTATTCATAACCCCAATTGCGAGGACCAGGAAACCAGAACCGACTACGCATCAGGTTGGTGGTTGGAGTGAATGACGCATTTTGTCGGATGGTGTAAGTCATATGACGTGGCATCGAACCATTCTGGTCCATGTTGAATAAGACACCTGAAACATGAGATAACCAGCAGTAAAAACAGAGTTGCAGCAATTGACAACGAGAGCTCGGAGGGTGCTTAAGCTTTGTCTTTTATAATACAGTGCAATAGCACAATAGCGTTATCAGGCCTAGTTTGTATCACCTTTTTATTCACTTCTTATACTTTGTTTTTTGGTGGACACCTCAACTGGGCTTTGAGGGAAGGAATGTCAGTGTGTGTGACACAAGCCATTGTAAACACTCCTATGATACCTATTGCAATTACAGTTGAGAAACGTTTCAACTATGCTTTATTAAGGCAATATACACCCCCGTGCAGGTGCACACTTTGGTGATGCTGTGGCTGATGGTGAGTTATAGCTCAGCTCCTTGTAACGGATTGGCAGCTTTAAACCAACTACTCATCGTTTGAAAGCTGGTGCGCTGCACGCCAGGCTATTCTGTGAGAGCCATGTACCACCAGAAGATCGCAGGTCTTTACAGGCTGAGTGCACGGACTTATCATTTGCATTCGACTATGAAGAGTCGTGTCACGAGTTTGACAGTGATGAGCGGGAACGGATGGATGATCGATGAAAAACTTTTATTGGGGTCCTAAGGATTCCACCCCTGTTTTATATAGGTAGGATCGCGGGCCGCTCCCATGTTAAGATGGGGAGGCCCAGCCTCACCGCCACATCGTGGGCCTTCTGGACAGCCTTGAGTTGTTGTATGAGAACCGAACTCGTGAGCATTAAATGAAAGGAGTTTTCGGAAAATTCTTCATTTTTTCTTTGTAAAGAGGGGCCACTGTGGTTAAAATCACTGCGATTGTGGCAGTCCGGACAAAGTTCTGAAATATCGGAGTAATGGCTATAGGTTACGAGGCTAGGGTATGTTCCCGTCTGAAGCATACGAAGAGAGATTGCCTGTGGCCTAGATAACTTTTCGTGTGGCAATGGAAAGGACCTACGGCCTAATTGATAGTACTTCGTGACCTCATTTAAGATAGTAAAATGTCCCTAAAATGAAGGTTGGGGGCTGATTCCTCTGTCTGAGAAGCACAAGTTCCGGTGCAGTAAGTGAAACTTCGCACCTTGGAGTGGGCTAGCTCATTGACATTGGGAAGGCCCCCGACCTTCAGGCCAAGGTGAGCAGGAAACCAAATAATAGTGTAGTGGGCGAGTTCCTTGTGAGCGAGAGTTCTAAAAACTTTCTTGCACACAGAACCAGAAGCGAAGACCCTATCAGAGTCCGTATAAATATCAGTCCTTTGTGGATCAAGGAGAGCTAGTGCAATGGCCGTCTGTTCTGCTTTGTAAGAAGAAGTGGTTCGAACCGACACTGAGGATGAAATCTGACCCTTAGTATCTACGGATACTACTGCAAAGTGAGCGGGAATGCCGTACTGGACGGCATCAACAAAGCATGAAACAGACGAGTAGGTGTGAGCTTGAGCTAAAAGAGAGGAGGCTCGAGCGACACGCCTGCCCACGTTGTACTGTGGATGCATATTTCGTGGAAGGGAACCCACTTTGATATGAGAGCGTATATAATTATCAAGTGGCGTATTTTGCACTTTGAGCGTCAGGGGGTTGACTACAGCGTCAACCAGAATCTTTCTCCCTGCTGGTGTGATCGAAAGCCTGGCAACCTGTGCCGTTTGTTGAGCCTCGATAACTTCAAGCGTGTTGTGGACTCCAAGTTTCATAAGGTTCTCAGTGCTTGTGTGCATAGGAATGCCAAGAACTTTCTTGATGCTTTTCCTTATGAGGATGTTCAATTTATTTCTCTCATGGAGTTGAATAAAAACATTAGATAGGCTAAATAAAGCATTTTATAATGTTAGAAACACAGATGGGCATTTTTTCTTATTTTTAGCGGGTCTCTGACCGCAATCTTGGAATTTTATTCTGGGACCGAGCAAGTCCCCCAACCCCCTCAAATTTGGTTGGATTATCCTACACGTATAGGAGGTAAGGGGGCACTTGCTCGGCATTTTATGATAAGGAGAATGAGGTGCTGATACAAAATAGTAGCCTTGTTAAGAGCCCACTAATCACCCCATGGGCACCAATCACCAGTCTATATATGCACCATGTGAAGTGGTGAGGCTCAAGTACTGGAGGACGGACGAATGAAACCAAAGTCGAGCATGTGCTCCAACTCTTTTTTGGCAACAGCAAGACAATCTAGTCCAAAGTGATGAGCTCAGGTAAATAGAGAAAGACTCTTCGTGATGATGTGATGTGTCATGAAGATTCCTCCTGAAGGTTTTCTGACCACCAGTGGTTGAAAAACGTCTGGGAACTCTGAAACGACACTTGACCACGGGCCACGAATGGTTGTGTGCGCTTGCAGAAGTCGGAGCAATGAAGTGCAACAGGAAACTCCTTGGATGGTTTAGCTCATCTCATGAGTCTAGAATGCGGCTGTGCCACATAGTGCCATAGGAAGTTGGCTCCGATTAGTGGCTGGCGCACATCCACGATGATGAAGAGGCAGCGAAAGATACATCTCAGGCCGATCTCAAGGGTCACAGACTTCTGGCTATAGGTCCGGATAGTCGATCCGTTGACAGAGGGCAGAGGAGGGAAGTCAGGAGAATGGTGTCGCTCAGCCAGTGTAGGATGCAGAACATAGATTTCAGCGCCAGTATCGACGAGGTAGCGGACCTTGGTGACACGATCGATAACGTGGAAGAGGCAACCATGCCTGGGGTCAGGAACAGCAGCTGCCGTCACTGTTTGGCCTGGTCGTTTCCCACATATGATCAAGGCTGACAACAGTTGTTTGCACGTGACCCACAGCAACAAAGGCAACCTCGAGCTTACGGAGTTGTGGCAGTGATGACTATTTTCGATGAGAGGTCATGACTTCTGGAAAGACTGTGAAGACTGCAGTGCTCAAGTTCCTAACCGCTGTAGGCCAAGTGAAGCGCGGCCGAGGCAAGCGCAACCCAGAAGATGGGAGCAATCAGGCAAAGTCTAGGTCACCAATTCATGGTAACAGGCAGAGAGATGTCGACTCTGAGAGACCACAAAAAATAAATTTCATTGGAAGCTATTTAGTTAGACGCGAACAAGAGCAGGCGCAACCATCTCGTCCTTGGTGCATCGTTGACGCCTTCTGGTCTAATTTTTCTGGTATGCACCAGCCCTGCCACAGTCTCAAGCTTTTAGAGAAAAGTGCATTTATCAGCTTCTCAGTCATCACAATGCCAAGCCAGCCCACACCTTTCTATCTCATCCACTCTCGTTTGCGATGCACGTGCTTCGCAAGCCAGAAAAAGTAGACAGGTGCAAGAATTTAAGAACTACAAGCTCTGTTATAAACAGAAGAAAACCAAGCTGAGAAAGAAAGTTTTTTGCATTATATGCAAGGTGCATTTGTGTTTTACTACTGCGTGAAACTGTTTCTGTCTGTGGCACAAGCACCATGGGGTACGAGTACTGCCCTTGTTTTAAAGCGCACACAAAAGTGTTGTACATATGTCTAGCAAACTTTTCAAGAGGCAATGAGCCATGTTCTGCATATCTTGAATTTTTACTGTAGCATTTTTGCTCAAGTATCTATGTTCACTTTAACTTTCCCATGCTGTCCTTGTAGCAAGTGACATTTTTTATTATTATGTATTGCCTTTATATGTAGTTATAGTATTTCAATCTGTATCAATAACCATTTCATCAGCCGATTCTGATGTTTACAATAGAAATACGGCACTATAACTTCATTTATTAAAACTTTCTGACCCCCTTCTACATTTCTTCTCCTTCACACGGCCCCGAAAGAGTTAATGTGAATCCTTGCCAGGCAGGGAGACTGCATTGCATCTTCCTCTGAAACATTTTCAAGCACTTTCATGGCTCTGTGGTAGAATACTTGAACATGATGCAGAAAACCGAAGTTTGATTTCACCTTGCATCCCAATTTTTATTTTTTACATCCATCAAGATTCTGTGGTCCCAACTAATGCCAACGACACAGATAGTGCATTTTCTGTGACACTAGCCCTCCAACGCTTTCGCATTAAAGAACTTGCACAAATGCAGCACAGTACAGAAGGCAGTAGGGTTTGCAACCTTTGCAAAGCTTGAAGCACATTACAGAATATGAAGTAGTGATGCTTTGTGCATCACAGTTTTCCAACAGGTAAGCAAAACTGGGTATTTAGACTATCCTATTAGCCCTGAGAATGAACACTAGCGGCGCAGCAGTCGGGCCGAAGTGACGTCACGGCAAAGACTTCTTTGCTTCGTGGCCGTGTATCGCCTTTTTCTGCGCCTGCCATGTGCCCACTCTTGTGCAATACGGTGGTGATAACTGCTCATTGTTTCGATGCAAATCTATGAAGGTAGAAGGCAGCTGTTTACACTGCTAGCGAAAGTTAAGTGAGCTGCGGAAAGCTGCGTGACGGTGAAAATGGTGGTGCATTACAGCAAGGCATTTTTTGTTGTCACTGCTTAGGCCAAGAAATCGCGACTAGAAGACTAAGCTGATGATTTTAACTTCATTACAACTTGGTGCAACATGTGTCCCAAAGAATAACAAATAAAGTTACACAAGTTCACTGAATACATTGCAGTGTTTATGCAGATTATTCGGGTGATTTGTCAATGTTACGCTTTTTTGCTAAAAGAGACTTTAAATGAATCTACCATAAAAACTCTTTTAATATATCCAAAATGTTAAACAAAATTATACGGTCCCACACAAACCTCCAGGAAAATGCCGAGATGTTAGTGTACTTGAATTCCGTAAATATTTGTTCTAAACAGGTAGTCACCAGGGATTATGTGGTGATATATTCTGATTTGCATGAACTGCTGGTCCGATCAAACGCTGCGTCAGAAGCGCTGATGTTTATTCATGTGGAAGCACTACTGATAATAATTATCGTTTGCTTTGCAAACGATTCAAGGTCGAAATGAGCGTTGTGAACAGTTTCGATGGTGCTCTTAGTGACGTGGCCTACATAATAATTAAATGGTCTTTGGTTCGATGAGTCGGTGTTTGGTCTCGTCCGTCA